AACACCAGTCGGGCAGGCCATTTGGGGGTTAAGTAATGCTACCGGCCAGAAACCCATACAAACCCCAGAGAAAATAGTGTAGTCTCAAAATCTGACAAATCCTTGGAGTGGTACTCCAGTGTTATAGATTGAGGATAACAATAAAGCAGTATTGAAAAACGTTTTAAAAAAACTAGCCAGGAACTTAACCTGGTCAACACATGATCGATGAAGTTGGATGTATTGTCCACGAATATTGCAACTATGCTGAGAATAGACACAGAGCATTTTACGTCACTCGGACAAAGGAAAAGAAGAAAAACAACAACAAAACTGGAAAAAAAAAACAATGTAGGGTATCAGACTCTTATTAATCTGTTAACAATTTGACTCCAGCATCCTTATCATGAACCTGGGAATTCCAACAACAAATCAGTTTTTTGATTTTTTTAAAAAGACCGTTTTAGACAGGGATCTAATAAGTTTGTAAAAAGTGTTTACAGTAATCCATACTGGGACTGCATTGACTCTCTGGTTCTAATCACATGCAGTCTACACTGACACATTCTCACATACTGTAACACAGCAGACTTGGCCAGGAACACACGTTGAGAAAATACCAAACAGCTAGTACTGATTCAGTTTATTCTGCTACGATGTGCTCTTGATCAAAACACTGTCAGAGGTTACCGGTCTAGGGTCCTAGCTATGTTATGTTATTACATTAAACAGAAGGAATCTTACTACATCCCATGCTTGCCCTTCATAAGGTCACAAAACAGCATCAAAAACTGCATGGACGCAAATCTTTCATTTCTCCATTCCATGACATGGATTGAGTAGCCAGGTTTCTCCGCTTGTATGTAGAAACAACCACGTACTCGATTATTCAGGATTAATTCGGTTCACGCACTTAAATCTCCAACAAGACCAGATTGCAACAAGACTAGCCTCATACAGTTTCTCATGGCTAGTATAGCCTTTTATTTCCTTCCAGAGTGTACTCACGCAAAACATGCACTGTCCGTTTCGCATGAATTTTGGCCACACGCAAAATTCAAGATTTGTCTCCTAAATTTGCTTACCCCAGATTGACACTCAGTCTATTCACTCAAACATTCTTAAGACCGCCTATTCAGAATAGTTTTTGAAAGTGAGATCCGAAGGAGAAAATGACTCCTTACAGGGACTCATGCTGCTATGCGACCACACTAAAGGTTGAAGGCAAACAGTGACATCATAATGACTATGTTTCGCAACCCCCCCCCCCCCCCCCCCCCCTCCAATGCTGTTGTTAGTAAAAATAATTGTATCCAGCTCTTCTAAACACTGCGCAGGTGCAGACAGTACCAGTGCCATTTATTAGGATTTTCAACAACCACCCAAAGCAGCAAAGCCAATTTTTAGGCTTCTCGGGGGTTTGTTACTGATAGTTGTCATCTCGCACTAATGTGACATCAGATTGACCCAGCCGACCAGCATAACCTGGCTGCTCTGGATAGGCCTGGTGGGGGACCACTCATGAACTAGGCAACAAAGATGACCTCACCACGATGAGACTGCAATTTTCCACGATTCTAAATGGGAAGGCTTAAACAACAAATGCCTGCAGAAGTGGGAATGTGTTGGCTGAAAGGCGCAAATATCACAGCCCTGTTGTGAATGGGAACAACGCATTTACGGTGGAGAAAGAAGATTTACCCAGCCTAAAATGAGTGCCAGGAAGTATCCTGGAAAATAAAGGTGGCCAGCACGAGTAGCCTGATGTTGATTACATCATCCCTGTGCTATTTGGTGGATGCAAATGTGGGTCCACATGATGTACAACTGGCGTGAAAAAGCCTGTTTAATTGACTTAAAAAGCCTGTTACTTGACTTAAAAAGCCTGTTACTTGACTTAAAAAGCCTGTTACTTGACTTAAAAAGCCTGTTACTTGACTTAATGTGACAGCACTCACTCACTTTCTAAAGTTGCAGATTTTGTTACAATGAATGTTTTTACTCTCCTTTTGTGTTTAAAAGAAGGAGAATGGGAAGTAATGAGTGCAGACCTGCAAATAAACGTGTGTTAAGTATGTTTATCAGTGTTGCCTAGTGAAATCACAGTCAAGAAATGCTGCGGTTGGTTCTGCAACATAAAGGATACACAACTAAATATTTGCGTGTATTATTAAATTTATCTGTTTATATGTTTTCTACTGTTTGGTGGCAGTAAGAGAATAATAGGAGAAATTTTATTTAACCAGAGATAAAATTTCGCCAGGAAAGTGAACTGATGTGACAAGAAGAGACTTTAGGAAATGATGTCAGAAATCAAGTGTGCAGTAACCACACACATGATGCTACAAAGTCACAAAAAAACAATCAGGAAGGCTGACCCTAATAAAAATGCCTGAAAAGTCTAATGTGTCTGTCGTAAGGTGCAAATATCACAGCTATGCTGTAAACAGGTGTGTCACATTTACGTAACTTGGACAAACGATGAAGAAGAAGTTGGCACTGTCTCATTGTCTTGTGTCGTTTGTCTTCTACTGGAAAACAGCATCTCAGTCAACTGATGCTGGGGCATTTTTCTGAGTTTTTGTGTTGGACCCACCCAGGTGGTCCCAGTCTTGAGTGGATGGTATAAGGAAATGTCCTGAGAAGTAGAGGGGACTGGCATGGAATTGATCCATTTGGTGCTAACTGGTAAAAGGCTATAGACAAATTTTTTAAATTTAGAATGTAAAACTTAATAAAGATGTTAAAGACAAAATAAACATATTTGCAGCAGGACATCAAGAGCCTCTTTTGGCAGTGGTGAAACAACACAAGCTAGTTTTGTTTGGGCATTCTCTTCTCTTTTTAACATTCACTGTCTACAAAGTCCGATGGAAAGTTCTGATTGTTTATCCACTCCTGAAAATTAATTTTGTTTCAGAACTTGATTTTTATGTACACACCCCGTTTTACAGTTCTGGCATATTTGTGTGCAGACTGTTTGTTCCATGCCTCTCAGGCAGCAGTGGCACTCCGACTTTGAAGTAATTAGTCACCTTCTGTGAGATGCTTGTTAAGGGATCATTGGGTTTATTCTGTGTTCTTCAGAATGGAACCCAGGAACCCACACAGAGACATGCAATAGGGAATGATAGGTCTACTACTTGACATGAGTTGGTTGATGTCCTGTGCTCCATTGGGAGATTGGGAGATCAGTGGCAGAAGTAGAAAGATGATGATGACAAATCTGGCTTGCAACATATCTGCTTTCTGCCACGATTCGGCTTTATATGATTACTGCCACGTACTTCTACTGCTCTAACGTCTAGGATTAATAACACAAACGGCTATCAGTTCCTTTATACATTTCTTCCACAATGTTCAACAATTATTCAACATCCACGAATTATTCACAAGACATTAAAACTACATTTTCTAATACTACAACTGTCTTCCTTGAATTCTGGTTAGCAACTGACAACGAATCCAGCTCAGGTTTCTCCTCGCTTACTCGACCAGCCCCACGTATCTCGTGCGATCGCTTGTAGTACAGACTTTGTGCTTGCCACACTGTAGGCATGGAGATCTTGCAAAGCACCGCATCACATCATAGTCGATGAAAACTCTGTATTAATGCACTTGACGAGACACACTGAAATCTGCCAGGCAGTAAATTGGACAATATTTTGTTTCGGTTCTCATTCTAAGTCACAATAGGAGAACATAGTTTTGAACTAAACATTTCTGGAAAGGCTAACCTGGACAACAAATGCCTGCAAAAGTTGGATGTGTCGGCCAAAAGGGCCAAATATCGCAGCCATGTTATAAACAGGCACAGCACATTTACATCTTCAGATGAACACAGAAGAAGAAGAAGAATTAACCATTTGTTTGAGATGAAAATTGAAGCATGCATGACCTAAGGTTTGTGACCGGAGGGAAGATAACCCTAGTTGCAGACTTGTTAACATACATTCTCATTGCTGGTGTCATGTAATTTCTTCCGCCCCGGCTGCAGAACATAATGACGGACAAGTGGATGAATTTAGGTTATGAAGATGAGGAACTTAAGCCCTATATAGAGCCACTGCCAGACATTAACGATCTCGCCAGGATAGGTAATTCCAGTCATCGTCGTCTTCACAGCTTTGGAGCTCTCGCTTCTTCGTGTCCAGCGGCGTCTAATTATTTCGTCAGTGTTATTTATTTTTGTTTTGTTTTGGTTTTTAAAACAACATTTATCTTTTATATTTTGGTTGCATAATTAATCTCTCTGTATGTGTGTGTGTGTGTGTGTGTTTATGTAGCACATTAGAAGCAACCTGTGTTGTGTGTGCATAAACAAGGACTGGTTGTTGCATGTTGCATGATCGTTTGTAATAACCTTGGGTCTAATCCAGCACTGAGAAAGGACATAAACAAAAGAACCAACAGCAGGGTCTTTTTTTTACACAAAATTCCTTCTAGTATTCAGTAATAATAAACAGGTGATATTCCAGTACATTCTAAGGAAGTAACAAGTTTGTGAATTCTTATAGTAAATCCTTATTATTTATCAGTTTAATTTAATTTTTCAAAGCTTTTTCTGTCCCTACTGGCTGTTAAAATAAGATACCTTATGTCTGGCTTCTGAAGGGTTAAAGGAAGGACAGGGAAAGTGGGTCATATGGTCAGTATGCCATACTGGCAGTTATGGACAGTGGGTCACTGAAAGGTGTCAGGAAGAGGAAATCACAGTGCAAGCATCAGGGACAGCAGGTAGTGGTGGCAATTGTAAGGATCAGAGGTTTCAGAGACAGTGATTGACAGTAATAGTCCTTCATAAAGAAAGAAACATAAAAAGTGTTTAATTTTGTATCTTCCTCTGATTTGTTAAATTCCTTAAAAATATACTCATAAATGCATTTTTGATTGTAGCTCCATAGTAGACGCCCTTACCACAGTTGATGGGTTGGTTTGCTGAATGCCCTTCCTTGCACCCGCTTGATGTGTTGATGTATAACCATGTGCTTTTTCTCAGAAACTGTTGTTTTATTGTTCAGACGATAATGAAAGACCGCTGGATGAATATGGGTTATGAAGATAGAGAGTTAAAGCCACACAAAGAGCCATCGAAATTGGAACTAGATACATCTCGGATAGGTAAATGTTACGTCAGATTTCTTTTCTGCTTGGAGCTTTCCTTCCACATCATGGTCAACTATAAAGAGCATTTCTCTAACAGTATGGGTACTCTCTGTGTTTAAAAATAATTTAAAAATTGTCCCAGACAGACAAACAAAACCAAACTTAATAAAAGCTTATGAAAACAAACAGCTATTACTGCCTGTATCTTTTGTGGTGTAAGTTTCACCATAGTCATTTGTTTTTAAAGCCCAGACCACGAGAAAAACTAGTCAGCTTCCCAGTATAAAACACAATCATGAATAACAAAATGAATATTGGGGCTAGAAAGCCTCCACCAGCTCATAAAAACACAGACACTGATACAACTAGGCCATAATAATAGCGTTTTTTTAAAAACCTGTCTTTTATACCTGTGTGCTGTTTGCTGGCCACAGCAGGTAAGATTGTCAGTTTTGCTGTTCTATAAGGGAGAAAAAAATATATCAGTGGAAATTGCAGTAATAAACGTAATGAGCGGGAAATAGAGCACATACGGCTAAGTGGAAATGCTCATTTACAAGTACAGAAAAAAATATATCAGTACAAAATTGCAGTAATAAACGTAATGAGCGGGAAATAGAGCACACACGGCTAACTGGAATTGCTCATTTACATGTACAGAAAAAATATATTAGTGGAAATTGCAGTAATAAACGTAATGAGCGGGAAATAGAGCACATACGGCTAACTGGAAATGCTCATTTACATATACAGAATGTTTTGAAAGAATGGAGACATTTTCATAGAGTTCTTGTTTGTGTGTGCAAGTTGTAGCTCCGTGGCTAGCATGCCTGCTTGTCATCCTGGCAGTCCTTTGTTCAAATCTACATCCCGACAGGGAGTGTCTTAAGTTAGGCGGTGATTTTTGTTTTACGAGTTATCTAGGATTCAAGATAGATTTCAGCCTAAACGCAGTTCCAGGTAAGTTTTTACAAGTCTGTTCTTCTCGACATTCACCGAGTGTAAACCTCGGAGGAAAGTTGTGGTTGTTCGTCCACTTCTGGATTTTGACCTTGTTCCAGAACATGAGTTTTGCATGCACATCTGTTTTACGGATCTGGCTTACAGACTGTGCAGACTATTGATTCCTCATTTCTGAGGCAGATGCACTCTGACTTCAGACTAAACACACCTTGTTAGTCACCTTTTACAACATGCTTGTTAACCGGCAGGGGGTTTGTCCCCCTTCCTTCCCCAAACCCAAACGGGGCCTTGGAATCCACATGAGGAGTTCTTGGAAGTAAGGCTGGCTGTTTTGTGTCGACTATGTCACCTATCAAGTGCAATTTGGTCTTTGAGATGTAAGCTATCACCGCATCACTATTGTACCCTAACAGAAGGAAATGGGTTAATTAATTCTGGGAAGGCTAACCCAGGCCACAAATGCCTGGAGAGGTCAGATGTTTTGGCCAAAGGGCTCATTATCATGGTCATGCTGTAAAGGGGCATGAAGATCCCCAGGTAAGTAAGAAGAGGGTGGTTCCTTACTTTCACCCATGTCTGTCAGCCTGGGCTGATTTTGAAACCATATGGTTGGCAAGGTGATTCCTCTCTAGGGTGGAGTTCGAATCCAGGATCATCAGGGCAGCAGGCAAGTGAATGTACTAGCCACTCCTAGATAGGTCGTCTAGTTATGTTATGTTAGATTAACAGTAATAATAAATACATAGTAGTTTGTTTAAACCTTTTAGCACGGGAAGTTTTTCAGATGTCTAGGCAAAAACACGGAGCATTTTTTCAGTAAATTTGGTTATTACTTTGTTTAATTTTTTTGGGACACATTTCTGTTATTCTGACACCCACGAAATAACATATCTATTTGAAGGATTTAGATTGAAGTTCATGATTTTCACAATGTCGTTAAAATTAATTGGAGTATATGCAAATTATCTCATTTGCATATCTAAAAATAGAAAATTAGAATGTGAATTTTCAACTTCAATGCATGAAACACAATTAAAATCAAAAATATATTTTATTTGAAATCTTTTTATTGATCCTGGGCCTTTTTACAAATGCTGTAAGCAATTCAATAGTCAAAAACAGGTATAAAAATATGAAACAGCAATAATATCTTTAGGTGACAGGTTTTTTTGACCATCAGTCAGCACAAGAAATGGATGTGCCGGAATGCCAACATCTTTGGGTAGATGTACCCAGAGCCATGGTTGGGCTGTGGTCTGAACACAACAGTGTCCCCATCTGATTCCCCACTATTACTACTAAGACTAGATCCTGCATCAGTATCAACAGAATTAGTGTCATCACTTGATTCAAATGTTTTATCAACATTAAGTTTAGGGGCAGAAACATACGAGTCAGACATACTTTTAGCAGTTCAGGTACCTATCTAAAAAATTCAACAACAATTTTAATTTTGATACCAAACACTAGAAAGTCGCCATGTGTAAAGCTAAAACAGCAGTGAATATGAATGAATCACTTTCAGTGTTTCATATTAGGAGATTTCTTAGCGTGTCGAGGCGAAACACGATTGGGCCGATGATCGGCCGTTCCGTGTTTTTGGCCAGACATCCGCCGGCCGATAATCTGCCCGTCCGTCCTAAGAGGGTTATAAACTTTATAATCACAGATAGAGCAGATTAGTTTTTTGTATTTACATATAAAAACAGATTCTTATAACGATTAAGGTAGAAGTGTTCACACACAAATGCCCTGAATTATATGCCAGTATTCTGCCGTATTAACATCACAGCTGCTAAAGATGACAGTTTGTTCTTCTCCCACGTTTCTAACTCCAGCAGTGCTGTTGGCATTAGTCTGTTTCATTTGTTACAACAACAACAAATTGCCACTGCTGAATCTTCTTCTTCTTCGCTTACGTATGTAAACTCTGGCAAAAAGTTCTGGTTGTTTGTGCATTTCTGAACTCGAGTCTTGTTCCAGAACTTGAGTTTTCTGTGCACATCAGTTTTACTCATCTGGCTGCATACTATTGGTTCCTTGCCTGTGAGGCAATTGCACTGTGTCTGACTGTGAAGGAAGTGCCCCTGATTAGTCAGTCGCCTTGTACAAGATGCTTGTTAGGGGGGCAGTGGGTCTATTCTTTGTTGCCCCCCAATGGGGCCCCAGAACCCACACAAGAACATTGCTGGATGTAACATGATCTTTGGCTTGAAGGTATCATACTGTGTACAGTAAACTTGACCATACATGCTCTTGTCTGAAAGTATACTATTTAAACAAGGAAACACATGGTTACCCAATGGCACTTTACTGTACACACACAAACACACAAAAGAAATGCAGCTATGTTCCTTACAAAAGCTGTGCATTTCTTTATGTGAGAAGTAAAGCGCCATCAGATAGCCGTGCATCTCTTTCTTCCACAAACAGTAGGCTTAGATGAATTTGTGTTGTGATTTAATCATTTCTTTGCAGATTGCACTTGCTTGCATGTTCACTCGCTTCTGTTTTGTTGTTGTTTTCCAGTGTGCAGATAGAAATATCAGTTTAATTAGCTTAGTTTGTGTAAATTTTTTAATACACTTTTGATTAAATCATTACCCGTATCGAGAATATAAATGGCTGAAAATATTTTCAGCTTCTTTCCTGAATGTTAACATTTGGGTAGATAAACAACACATTAAAAATGGAAATGGGCAAAAGTAAAGTCAGTCTTGCTGTATGGTGTAGAGACCTGATTAAATGATTATCTGTGTGTAGCACCTTTTACAAAGGCCAATTGGGGAAGCAAAGAATAATAATTCTATAACTTATCACCATACATATTTTATGAGGGTTAATAAAAAATTTGAGACTGAACGTTATCAAAAAAAAATTGAACGAGCTAATGCAGAAAATTGAGACTAAATGTTAGTTTAATGATTAAATTTGTTAATGCGGCAACCGTCTAAGACAAAAAAAGTTAAGATTCCTCCATTTCAGTCTTCTCCCCGTGTGGGTTCTAGATCCCTGTTGCACTGGCCCCACTGCCTTCCAACAAGCTTGTCATAGGAGGCAACTAATTAGGGGTGTTTTCTTTGAAATTGCAAAGCGTCTGCCTGAGAGGTGAGAGACCAACAGCCTGCATATAAATAAACCAGGTCTGTGTAATAGACATGCGTGCAAAGCCAACAAGGCCAAAGTCCAGAAGTTGGCAAACAGCCAGATATTTCTGCCGAAGTTTCTAACCAGTGAACCCTCCAAAAGGAAGGAGGATCATATAACTTGTTACTTTAAGATTTTAGTTGACATTTTCAGTCAGTTGAAGTAATTCTTTAACATTTTCATACACTGAATGTCAGTCAGTCAAATGAACCTCTTAGTTCCCCCCGGGCAGTTAAAGATCTTCCTTATTGACATCTCCAGTAACTAACCCCACTCGTTTGCTGTTGAAGAAATGCTCTTTTGTTGACCATTACTTACATTTTCTCACCATCTCAGTCTGGTTTCCTGATTCTAGTATTCACTTGTTGTCTTATATCTCCCAGCATGGCTCATATTGTGTGTTTGTGTTATATTTGTCTCCATGTTGTATGCATTTTTTCCCTGCAGTAACTTGCAAATCAGTTTAAATTATATAGCGTTTACAGTCTAATATAAGAAATTTAAATATTATATAAAATATTTGCAGTGGTAAGTGTGTACATACTATGCCATTATTAATGATATAATATATCCGTTATATTGTGATATTGATCTTAAATGTGTGAAAAGAAAGATGAGATTATTTATTATGGATGTGATATGCCATGATATGTTGTTATGATGCACAAATAGATAATCACAGTCTGAGGAGAATGGCGTTGCAAGCAGTGTCCAGGTGATCTGATCCACGTTGAAGGGAAAGGCGAGACAGGCATGCTGTCAGACTGTTACTGGTGCTATTGGAATTGCTTGTTGCTGAAGATGGGGACGGAGCGCTTATGGGAATGTCTTGAGAACTGGGATGTTGATTCTCAATGCAGTTTTCAACATTGCTATGAACAGGCTGAATGTATTTAGAAAGAGCAGTACACGGGTTTCTAGGTCTTTCAGCCTAAACGGTTACTGGAAGGAAGTTAAAAGGCATGTGAGCAAGAAGTGGACAGTGATACAAGTGGGAAGATGACATTAAAAATATGCCGAGGGCAGTCTCAGAGTGCACAAACAAGCCGAAAGACACTGTTGGAGCCAACCTGTTTTGCAGAAATGACACCTGATTGATGTTAGAGTATACAAGCTATGGTTGGTTCACTGGATACAAACCCTCTGCCCAGTGGAGTTGTAAGGCTTGATGCATTGATGTTGTAATAACATGACTGCATGACCTGGAAGTGAAGTACGTCAGTACCGCTTTTGAGGCTGAGATATGAGACATTGTAACCAACTCCTCATGGGGACAGTCCGTAGAGGACCTTGGAGTGGCTGCTGTGTTGGAGGACTGTTCATGCATGAGAAAGCCTAGTGTGCAGTGACATCGACTGTGATTATGTAACATAATAACTTGACATCCCAGCTTAGTATTCACTTTGTGTTTTGATGCTGAGATATTGTCACCAACTCGTCTTGGAAACATATATCAGAGGTACCAAGTAGTGGCTGCTGCATCGGAGGACTGAACATGCATGGGAATCTGTTTTGATGTAATACAGACTTCTGAGGGATCAGCAGTAGTGTAGTGGCTAGAACCTGGCCTGTTGAACGTGAAGGCCTTGGGTTTGAATCTGCACTTTGACCCAGCCTAAAACTGAGTACCGGGTGATGTACTGGGAAGTAAAGGCGGCCGGTGGGATGTTGACCACATCACTCATCGACTGCTGGTTGGTCAGTAAAGATATGTGTCTAACACCTATGCCCAGTGAGACAGTGGCGTAAACAGGGTCCTTTGGCCCTTTTTTTGTTTTGCTCATATAAGACGACCCTATGTATAGAACACACCTATATATGAGACAACCCAGTTAATTACAAAAAACACCCCAAATTAAGAAATAAATGTTCTAAATACCAAACAGAGATGCCTCAGTGAGTGCATTTGGGGGATGGAGGGTGTTGGTGGCCAGGGTCGGCTTAGGGAACCAGATATAAGGGACAGTGTGGGAGGGGGGTACCAGACCAAGGTTTCTCATGAGGTTAATTGGGGGGGGGGGGGGGGCCTCGGGAAAGAATATTTATAGCAGTATTATTTGTGTATCTGTTTAATTGCAGCATTCTGTGTATATGACCACCCCCAGTTTTAAACTTAGAAAATTTGGGAAACATATTATCTTATGTGTGGAAAAGGATGTAACTTTTTATCAGCTTTTATTATGTTTGTCTGGTTGACTGTTTGCGTTAGATTTTAATACTATTTCTCGATAAGCTTATAGTGGTGACATTAAAAAAAAATGCTTTTGAGAATGGGCATCTGGGTGTTTTGTCATTAGGGAAGTCCTTTGCATGCTTATCCATCTGATGTTTTGTCATTAGGGAAGTCCATTGCATGCTTATCCATCTGATGTTTTGTCAGTAGGGAAGTCCATTGCATGCTTATCCATCTGATGTTTTGGTCACCAGAGCTGATGATCACCATGAACTACAACCGCAAAGAGATTGAAGAGTCGCTGAAGCTGCAGAAGTATGACGACATCCATGCCTGCTACCTTCTGCTGGGCAGACGTAAAGAAGATGTAAGTGTGCAGCACAGATGATTGATTTTGTTGTGTCACTGCTGAATAACACTAGATGTGAGGGTGGGTTGTGGGTATCACGGAATGTGAAGGTGGGGAGAATATGCAGGAGTGGGCTTATAGCATCTTCTTGAGTGTGTCATGTGGCATTGCTAGTCATATCTGCATGTATAAATGTGTGTGTTTTATGTTTGTGTGTGTAAGTAGATGTGTGTAGTATGTATTACATATGTCTGTATAAGAGTGTTTGTATGAGAATGTAAGAGTATGTATACGTGTGTGGTTGTGTGTGTAAGATTGTGTACACATGATGTGTGTATGCATTATTCCATAATGTATATTTCTTTATTACATCCATAAAATGCATTATTGATAACGGGCATTGGTACGCTGAAAAATGAGTGCTTAGAAGGACCGAATGTCAGACGGGCCTGCGTGCCCAATTTGTAACCTTTTGAAAATATAGTTTGTTCGTTCGTTTGTTCACAGCCGTCTGTCTCGTGTACTTTTTGTCACCTCTGACACAGATGATCCTTCATGTCAGGTTGATTTGATTTGATTCAAGAACCGACATTACAGCACTCAGGGCATTCCCATAAGCGCTCCATCCCCATCTTCAGCAGCTAGCGAAGAGTTCCGATACTAATGGTGCCAGTAGCATTCTGATTAAACTTCCGTCTTGCCTTTCCTCTGAGCCTCGAGCATCTGCCAGAACCTCTCATCACACCCCCTGCATCAATCTCACCAGACTGTGGTGATCCATCTTCTCCTCTCAACTGTTCACTCTCCCACAAGGCACTAACCACGTCTGCCTTATCACGTATCAGTATTCCACTAAGTTGTGCAAAGTTGTGTCAGGTCAAACTGTCCAGCATCTACCTCCCTCTGCCCCTTTTTGCCTCCAGCTTTCCCACTGTCATGATGTAATCCAGTTTTCTCACCCTCATGGCATGACCAAAGAATGAAGACCTTCTCCTTCTGGTGTGGGCAATCAGTTCTCTCCATGAGTAAATTTCCTTCAAGACATCCTCATTACTCTTTTTAATCCATCCTGGATATTCTTATCATTTGTCTATAAAATGACATCTTCGCAGCTGCCAAATAATTTGTCACCAATCGACCAACTGTCCATGATTCATTTCCATAAAGCAGGATAGGATTTGTATAGCTTTTAAGAACCCTCTTTCTTGTCTGTGTGTGTGTGTATATGGGAAGAACAGGCAGGCCTTGGCCTGTGTGTGGAGAGTATACAGGCTGGGGCTTGTGTGTAGAGAATATGCTAAAATAGTGGGTTACATGTGTGGAGCTAATATAAATAAAAGGAGGCTTGGTGTTGAGAATAGGCAGTGGTGGTGGGCTTGAAGTGTGGTGAAAATGCAGTTGCTCGTAGATGACTTGATTATGATAGAGTATATTGTTTGCTTTGCTGCATAAGTTTTATTTTCCTTTACTCGTGTGGAATAGACAATATTTATTCAAATGGAAGCAAAAGAGTATTTGCTCTCATGATTGGCTATTTGCACAGTGAGTTGCAAATCTAGTGTGGGACTGTTAGTGTTGGCAGTCTGGTGGCTGCATTAAGATTTTGCTAGGACTTGTTTGAAACTGGGACAGCAAGGGACATTTTGTGTGATTCCTACTGGGACAGGAACAGAGCAGTTAGCCCATCTGCAGTGATGTTGGAACCTCGACTGGCTAAGTTTTGTTTTGCGTGTGTTGCGTCTAAAGTATTATTTGCTTGTATGAAACTCTTGTTTGCTTGACTTGGCCTTGAAAACCCACAGCTGGAAGGTGGGGATAGATCCGGCAGCAACCTTTCACTCCAGAACACACGTCTGTCGACCCGGCCACTGGACAACAACAGCACTGGTCAGTCTCCCAACAAGGTGACCCGGAGCCAGTCGGCAACTAGCAGCTCTAACAATCAGAAATCTCGACAACATGGCCAGGTCGGGGACAACACTGGCAATGGTAAGTGTTGCGTGTATCATCGTCAAGTCTTCTGAATCAGGTGTCCCATAAGTTTCCATATGTAGGAAGAATTTGGGTATGCCCGTCATTACAAGAGGCATAACTCCAACTGTGATTATTTGTGACTCCACTGCTGAAGAACACTAACAATCACAGCTGGAGTTATGCTTCTTGCAAATTATGTCAGGGATACATGTTATCCTTTCTGTGTGTGAAAACTTTTCGGACGCCAGTTATAGTGGCATGAGAAGGGGGAAACTGAAACAAGTTGCAACTATTGTAAAGATTTATGGAAAGAGAGATAGAGGAAGACAACATGAGAAGATTCTTTATAGCCTTTTGTCATGGCATGGAGGGGGTGGCGCCACATCAGATGATAAATACTGTTGGAGGTCGTAGGATGTGAAGAGGCATGTTCACCCATCTGGCAGCCACTTGATGATGATGATGTCTTTTCACACCCAATTTCTTGAGTGTAATTCATCAGTTCATGCTAGACTACTTGTAGTCTTTTAGCTTTGAAAAAAAAAATTTATTCCTCGCTCCCACCTGCTGTAAACTTCGACAGAAAGTTGTGGTTTGTCTGGATTTTGGTCTGCAGATCTGGCTTATTTGTATGCAGACTGTTGGTTGCTCACCTCTCGGGCAGATGCACTTCAGTTTCAAGGAAAACATCCCTAAGTAGTCCACTATTACGACATGTTGTGGCCAGTGGATCTGTTCATTTTCCCCCCCAACAATGGGAACCCAGTTAAAAAAAGTTAAATGAGAAGTAGAACTAGCCAGCTTCCCAAAACCACAATCATGAGCGACAAAATGAATGTTGCAGCTAGAAAGCCTTCACCAGCATGCGATTCAGGGAGATTGTGATCAATCACAAACAATTGTTTTGTTATTCAGCGGATCAACATCATGGCACACGGGTGTAACCCATAAGTGCTCAGTTCTTCTTCTAACTCAAGCCTGAGTCTGAAGAATCCATTGCACCGGTGAGGATCCTGAACTACTTTGGGAAGATTTTAAACTCATAATTTTTGCCCGGGCAGCGCCGTTAGGCTACTTTTTTCAATTTCCAACTGCCAAGGGATTTTTTACATGCGTAACAAAACACACGGGCGTCCGGTCTTACTACCCAGAGACCAGGGGGGAAATTACTAGAAGTCCACATGAAAACCCAGCCTTCACAATGGGCCTGAATCCAGGACCTCTAGCACTCAAGGCGGACACCATGCCTCGAGACCACGCAATCCCCTAAGTCACAAACAAGAATACATGAAGTCACTTATCTTTACAGTGAGGTCTGTCACTAAATCTCAATAAGATGTTTGAACAATAGAAGCTGTCTGTCACTTTGCTGTTGTCTTATATTCTTCTTCTTCATCTTCTTGTTCACTAGCTGTAGACTCCAGCGGAAAGTTCTGGTTGTTCGTCCACTTCTGGACTTTAGTCTTGTTCCAGAACTACTTATTATCTTATTTAATAATAATTGTCATCCTGTTGTGCGACACAGGGCTCACAGTCTGGTCCTTCATTAGGATCTTCCCTGTGGAGTCCACTAAATATAGATGGAATTCAGTCCGGTACCTTTGGCCTCTCTCAGGAGCGTTCCTCCCAGGCTTCCTCTCGGACGACCCTGTTTGCTTAGTCCATTTGTTTCCCATTTCGGATTATTACTATTTAACTTATACGGGATAATCAAGAATGATTGCTGGGATTTTAAAACTGCTATTATAAAAGAAGTATTTAATGAATATACACGTATGGCTTTTTAAAATGTTCAGAAAAGTTTATTAAGTTTTGACTTACCATATTACACTTTGATGTGAACACCATTTGTAGTTCTAGTGATGTCTAGATGGTATTCAGTGTCCTGCATCGTGTCCAGAGTTACATTTGCATTTGTCGCAGCAACTGTCTCTTAAATATACTGGATATTCCTTATCTCCTCGGCACGGTTTTAAGCCACACGGTCGGGCAAGGTCATGTGAAACTACACTTTTCTTAACATTTTAAGACGCCACATGTTTATATCCATTAAATCCTTTTCTCTAAATAATAACACTTCAAAATTTCGGCGGTCATTCTCGATGACCTTGCATATTAATTATTTTCTTCTAGGTTCTGGAACTACAAATGCATCACACTCCCAGTCAGGCTCGGCTAGAAGAGCCAATGCAGAGAATACAACTACGAAACAGAGCACGCTGGAGGAGAGGATGGGCAGAATCTCCTTGGCAGTGGGAAGCAGCACCAATGGTGCTCATGTGACATCATCAGACTCTCCCAAGGTCAGAATTGCTGGGGTCGGACATGTCTTTCTGAGCATTTGTGTTGTAGGTCCTCTTTTATGTAGGTCCCATGCGATATAGGTCCTATGTGATGAGGTCCTGTGTAGTGTAGGTCCCATGCGATATAGGTTCTGTGTAGTGTAGGTCCCATCCGATATAGGTCCTGTGTAGTGTAGATCCCATGCGATATAGGTCCTGTGTAGGGTAGGTCCCATGCGATATAGGTCCTGTGTAGTGTAGGTCCCATGTGATATAGGTCCTATGTGATGAGGGCCTGTGTAGTGTAGGTCCCATGCGATATAGGTCCTGTGTAGTGTAGATCTCATGCTATATAGGTCCTGTGTAGTGTAGGTCCATGCGATATAGGTCCTGTGTAGTGTAGGTCCATGCGATATAGGTCCTGTGTAGTGTAGGTTCCATGCGATATAGGTCCTGTGTAGTGTAGGTCCCATGCGATATAGGTCCTATGTGATGAGATCCTGTGTAGTGTAGGTCCCATGCAATATAGGTCCTGTGTGATGAGGTCCTGTGTAGTGTAGGTCCCATGCAATATAGGTCCTGTGTAGTGTAGGTCCCATGCGATATAGGTCCTGTGTAGTTTAGGTTCCATGCGATATAGGTCCTGTGTAGTGTAGGTCCCATGTGATGAGGTCCTGTGTAGTGTAGGTCCAATGCAATATAGGTCCTGTGTGATGAGGTCCTGTGTAGTGTAGGTCCCATGCAATATAGGTCCTGTGTAGTGTAGGTCCCATGCGATATAGGTCCTGTGTAGTGTAGATCCCATGCGATATAGGTCCTGTGTAGGGTAGGTCCCATGCGATATAGGTCCTGTGTAGTGTAGGTCCCATGTGATATAGGTCCTATGTGATGAGGGCCTGTGTAGTGTAGGTCCCATGCGATATAGGTCCTGTGTAGTGTAGATCTCATGCTATATAGGTCCTGTGTAGTGTAGGTCCCATGCGATATAGGTCCTGTGTAGTGTAGGTCCCATGCGATATAGGTCCTGTGTAGTGTAGGTTCCATGCGATATAGGTCCTGTGTAGTGTAGGTCCCATGCGATATAGGTCCTATGTGATGAGATCCTGTGTAGTGTAGGTCCCATGCAATATAGGTCCTGTGTGATGAGGTCCTGTGTAGTGTAGGTCCCATGCAATATAGGTCCTGTGTAGTGTAGGTCCCATGCGATATAGGTCCTGTGTAGTTTAGGTTCCATGCGATATAGGTCCTGTGTAGTGTAGGTCCCATGTGATGAGGTCCTGTGTAGTGTAGGTCCAATGCAATATAGGTCCTGTGTGATGAGGTCCTGTGTAGTGTAGGTCCCATGCAATATAGGTCCTGTGTAGTGTAGGTCCCATGCAATATAGGTCCTGTGTAGTGTAGATCCCATGCGATATAGGTCCTGTGTAGTGTAGGTCCCATGCTATATAGGTCCTGTGTAGTGTAGGTCCCATATTGCACAGGTTGTTTTGTTCTTTATACTGTAAATTTTGTCGTGGGTTCAGGCTTCCTAAATTAGGAAATTCTTTAAATATTCAGAGAACCAAAAAAAAATGTTTACAAAAATGAGACAGAATACAGAAGACACAAAGAGTAGATTGCAGAATTTATTGCCCAGCATATTTCTCTGTATCTTGGCCTGTGGACACTACAATAACAAAATTAAATCAAATTAAGCAAACACATTTTTTTTTAAAAAGATTTGTAAAACATTGATTTTATGTGAGGAGACAAAAAGTCTAACACCTCACTATTTAATTGAAAAAAGATCAAGTGGAAGATGAAAAGATAAATGTCTGGTGGAGTTGGCTACGAGGCAATAAAATAGGTCTGGTCTGGGACACTTATTTGTGCGATAGGGCAGAGCATATCGTGACGTATCATAAGGTACAGTTAAAACAAAACCGTACTTAATAAAAGCTTACTAAAAATATTTAGTTGTTCTATCTTTTAGAGGACTTTGCAAACCAGCTCCAGTGCTTGTTGCCTGATTCTGGTTTTACTGGGCATTTAATGCTTAGTAGTTTTCCATATCCCACTGAACAGTCGGCTCTCCAAACCATTACTGAAATTATCAAAAGTGTTGAAATCAGCATAAAGGGATCTGTTACCTGCATTAGGAATTGAACTAGATAATTTGAGGTGATGATTGTTTGTAACCCCACCAGTCACAGTCACCTGAAAGTTTACTTTATGTACAGTGGAGTTATTGACATCACAGCACTCAGGGCATTCCCAGATGCGCTCCGTCCCCATCCTTGTTATGACCCATTTCTCTCTCTCTCTCTGTAGATTGAAACCACAAAGATCACGGACAACCATGATCTGGTCAGCACGGCCAACAACAGACCAACCAGCTTGACCAAAAACGCTATTGATCCCCTCAAGGTAGGACACTGTCAACTGTTTTTAACGGTCATACCTTTGACCAAGGTTTCGGTGAAGTTGCCATGTTTTTATTCTGACCACTCGGTTTCTTAAACACCATCATCCCCATCCCTCATCATTTGTGTAAGTTGTTTCCTTTGAGGGGGGTGGGGAGGTGCTATATTGTTTATGGCTAAATACAGTTTCGAGGTTATTGAATGCATTCACGGGTTCAGAACTTTCAAAGTCGCACGGTTCAGTATCAGCGGGGCATTTTGTTGTTGTAAATATACCTTTTCTGGGTTTGAACATTGGTGTAGTAGTTGTGCTGTGGAAGAGATCAGATCTTTACTGCCTAAAACTCTCAAGGACAGTAGTGGGTACAACATAGACATGGAGATGCCACCCGTTTTACAAAAAATGGATTCATTGCTGGTCTGTGTAGAGCTTGAATATGGTGTTTATGGGTTTTGTTTAGATACCACTCAGTGACGCTGGTCTGTGTAGAGCTAGAATATGGTGTTTATGGGTTTTGTTTAGATACCACACAGTGACACTGGTCTGTGTAGAGCTAGAATATGGTGTCTATGGGTTTTGTTTAGATACCACACAGTGACACTGGTCTGTGTAGAGCTAGAATATGGTATTTATGGGTTTTGTTTAGATACCACACAGTGACACTGGGCTGTGTAGAAATGGAATATAGTGTTTATGGGTTTAGTTTAGATACCACACAGTGACGCTGGTCTGTGTAGAGATGTAATATAGTGTTTATGGGTTTTGTTTAGATACCACTCAGTGACGCTGGTCTGTGTAGAGCTAGAATATAGTGTTTATGGGTTTTGTTTAGATACCACTCAGTGACGCTGGTCTGTGTAGAGCTAGAATATGGTGTCTATGGGTTTTGTTTAGATACCACACAGTGACACTGGTCTGTGTAGAGCTAGAATATGGTATTTATGGGTTTTGTTTAGATACCACACAGTGACACTGGGCTGTGTAGAAATGGAATATAGTGTTTATGGGTTTAGTTTAGATACCACACAGTGACGCTGGTCTGTGTAGAGATGTAATATAGTGTTTATGGGTTTAGCTTAGATACCACACAGTGACGCTGGTCTGTGTAGAGATGTAATATAGTGTTTATGGGTTTAGCTTAGATACCACACAGTGACGCTGGGCTGTGTAGAGATGGAATATAGTGTTTATGGGTTTAGTTTAGATAGCACACAATGACGCTGGGCTGTGTAGAGATAGAAGATAGTGTTTAATGGGTTTAGTTTAGATAGCACACAATGATACTTGTCTGTGTAGAGATAGAACATAATGTTTAATGGGTTTAGTTTAGATAGCACACAATGCTACCGGGCCGGGTAGAGATGGATGCAGTTGTATCACACCTGTTGTCATTGAACACATTGCCTGTATTCACTCAGCATTTGTATTTGATGAACATGGACAAACCTGCTTGTTTCACAACATTACTAATTGATTGGTGTTAGTCTAGTTACTATGGTTCTCAGCCTCCATATGTTGGTGTTACCAGTATCTGTTACTCACCAGCCACATATAAGTTATAACTGTGGTCTTCTTGAATACATATGTGTATGTGCATTACATTTTGCAAGGCATGCTTTCAGTATATTGTTATTAAATGTCTAAGCACATGGTGGTGCAGTTGTCCAACTCCCTTGTCACAAATAATTGGACACTTTATTGAAATACTAATATGTCTCAACTCGACGAGTATAAATCTGAAAAATGCATACATCATTGCAAGGGGCTGAAATACTGATCTGTCACAAACTCTTTTAAATATTTTTAAATATTTTAAATATTGAAACATAGTTGCAAGTGCCTGAAATACTGATATATCATGAGATCTTATAGTATAAATAGTAATACTGATACATAGTTGCAAGTGCCTGAAATACTGATATATCATGAGATCTTATAGTATAAATAGTAATACTGATATATAGTTGCAAGTGCCTGAAATACTGATGTCACAAATTCCTATGTAATAAATGTTAAAACTGATACACAGTCACAGGTGCCTAAAATGGCATCACTAAATACTGGCACCCTGTCCTTTGAGAGTTGATATTGTAATGATTAAATTGTATTGTTGATCTCTATTTTCTTGATGTCTATGCTAATGCATAAGGCATTCACAAGTGATCTCCATTACTGCCGCTCTACTGCTTTTCTGTCTGTGGTATATCATGTGATTTTACATTCCTTCATTTCCCTTTGTACTGCTCTTTTCTGTATTTTCTCAGGTAGTCCATGTCTTGTTTTTTCCATCTGCAATCCACAGGAGAGCTAGCTATTCTTGTCAAAGTGTCATAAGGCATTCTGCAAACATGTCCGAGGAATCTCCATTGTCTTTCTTTGGCTGTGATGACCGTTTTGTTTTCCCCTTCACGTCCTCATTTGTTTAGGTTTGGCCAAAACATTCCCAGGCCTTTTCTTGGACATTTATTGTGAAAAGTCTCTGGTGAATGTGCAGTTCCAGCTATTTTCCAGCACACACATTGCTGTTTCAACTGTTGCTGGTATACATCCCTGTATGGGTTTAGGGGTCCCATTTTGGGAGGAACAGAATGGACCTACTGTCTCCTCTTTCTAAAAAGCATTTAACAAGAATAAGTAACCTGAAATAGATTTATCTTTTTATATTTTATTAGACATTTCTGATCACAAGATGTGCTAGGTGTTAATGTATTGTTTATACATCTACATTAGTATAGTCAACATGTATAGTTATCATGTATAGATATCCATATTTATCTACATATGTTACATGCATGTTCATTTTATACTAATATGTGAGATTTATGTTGAATTTTCTATTAGCCTTATCCCAGGTTTAATATTTGAGCTTGTTATAACCACTAATGCCACAGTTTGGTTATAGGGTGAGGTGACTAGTGATCTTACACTTGCTTGTAGATTAGTGTATGCTAATTTAAACAGCTTCTGTTGTAGTATTGAGCGGTGGATTCATTCTATACCAAGCAGCTCACCACGTGTTGATTCCTTGCATGCCAGCGCCACCTATCATATTTTTGTGTGTGGATTTTTTCTTGGTCTGTACTGGGATCATCTTTTACGTGGTATTGGTTGCTGCCATCATATATACTGAATTGGTTTTCTTCAGTTTTTTTTAATAGTCCGCTCCAAAAGTCGCGCCCTTAAACTTTTAACAGATATCTGGAAAACTCCTGTGTGGGTGAAACAAGTTTGTGCACGTGGTCTAAAATTTCCCATATCCTTATGAGTTCATTATTTACAATTGCACAGGTGCTGCAGTTTTCTTACAGCAGTCAATTTCTTTGATCTTTATTGCACAGTTACTGCCTACATGGGCAGTTATTTTCTTGATCTGCTGTGTTTGTAAATTTGTTACTGTCTACATCATGGAACATTTTCGTATCTGAAACTGCATGTGTGATTTGTTCCCTACATCACCAAATATATCTACTTAACTGAATCTATATTTGTGTTTGAGTTGTTTTCTATGTCACTATTTTCTAATCTGTGCTGACCAGATTGGCAGGTGTATCAGTTGGTCCCTAAATCACAATAATTTTTTGGTTTAAAGAGAGGGTATTTTGTTGAGGTTTAAATCACCACTAATTGCTGGCATCATGAGGGCTAATAGACTGCAATTAATTATGCATATAGAGAGAATGGCAGATTAAAGAAAGACAAAAACTGCCCACACAGAGGAATTGAATGGCAGTAGACCATGAAGCAGACCAAGAAGGTGGTGGAGTGATAATATACAGGCAGACCTTCAAATGCTTGGAGTCACCAACCGGAAAGAGAAGCCCAGTGAGAGATAATGGAAGCAGATGATAACTGTAACAGTGAACGTCAAGCACTCATGATACTGAAGAGGATTCTGGTCAGGTATGGAACAGTGATGGCTGCTCTGGCTGACCCACATGAAGCTTCCCAGCAGTGGCAGGGTTAAATGTTTTCTTATCAGTGCATCCTTGAAGGAAACTGCAGTAGCAGGGTTAAATGTTTTCTTATCAGTGCATCCTTGAAGGAAACAGCAGTATCAGGGTTAAATGTTTTCTTATCAGTGCATCCTTGAAGGAAACGGCAGTAGCAGGGTTAAATGTTCTCTTATCAGTGCATCCTTGAAGGAAACGGCAGTGGCACAGTAACTAGCACAGTTACCTATCAGCCTGGTGGTCACCTCAGTCCTCCTTTGGGGTGGGATTCTGTCTATTGACCTAGGCATCCTTAGTCGGACTCGAACTGAAAAAAAAATGGCTGTTGAAAAGTTATCTAGGAAATCTCAAAATTTCTATAACAGTACAATTAAAACATAATCCTTTCTGGCACGGCATTTGAATTCCAAAGTCTCATGATCAGCACTTGCCGTGCATTCGGTTTCCAAAGTAGTGTTTAAGTTCCAGGGCAAAAGTTACTGGAAAATGTTGTTTCGATTCCAAGTTTTGAGGCGTTCGAGTTCCATGGTGTCTGTCTGGAGTGATGACTGGTCAACAGGATGTGGTATTCTGCTTGGTATGGAATGAGTAAGCTGGCAGCTTTTGCTGATTTACAACAGATGCTAGCTCTGTAGATGCTGTGGCCATAGGAGTGTGAAGTGCAGGGGCTTTCGTTTCTGATTTATACAGATAGTAGTGATTTTTATCCTTGTCTAAACTGATTAGGGGAAAAAAGTGATTTTTTTTTAAACCTGTATAAATTTAAACATAAAGTAGTGATTTTATCACTACCTGTATAGATTGAATCAGAAAGTGGTGATTTTATCAATGCCTATATAGATTGAATCAGAAAGTGGTGATTTTATCAGTGCTTATATAGATTGAACAGAAAGTGGTGATTTGTTGGTTTTTTTTTTTTTTATTGTATAAACATATAAAGCCTCCACACTTCAGATTCTCATTGGTTGTAGTATTTACACAGTAGCAGCTTGTAGACTTGCCTGTATGCCCACTAATGACTACTGCCTGGGCATATATGCCCACTAATGACTACTGCCTGGGCATATATGCCTGTATTATTGATTTATATTTTCTAACTAGCTGCATGCCAGAAAGACTGCAATTCATCACTCTTCTTTATCATCGTCATCATCATCATCCAAAGAGAATGCAGCCCCATCCTCCTATGCCAGGACATCAAGGAACTCCTTTGATGCCATGAAGGTATGCGGACAAGATCTTCTACAACATCCGTCTGTTTCTTTTGATGGGTGCTTTTTCCAGAAGAATTGTCTCTCTCTCTTTTTTATTGTTTGTCTGCTTTTGCTTCCTCTCCTTGATTACTGCTTCTCGTCATTATTTTCTTTGCGCTCACTGACTGTAAACTCCGATGGAAAGTTCTGGTTCTGCGTGCACTTCTGGACTTTATTCCAGAACTTGGGTCTTTGCATGCACATCCCTTCTACATTTCTGGCTTTTTTGTATGTAGACTGCTGGTTCCTTACCTCTTAGGTAGGTGCACACCAAGTTTCAAGGAATGTCCTAGTTAGTTGACTTTTATAAGATGCTTGTTTGGGGGGGTGGGGGGGGCAATGGGTTTGTTCACCCACCCCCCTACAGTGGGGCACCCGGAACTAACGGGGTTGCCATTAATGAGTTACATGTACATATTGAAAGGCCCTCATGAACTTTGGTTTGGGTTCATCCACAAATGGTCTTAAGAGGTGGTTGACAAGATGGCTCTCTTTGTAAAATAAGATCTCTGAAATGTGGAAGGTGGGATGAGGCTTCGAACCATTATCTTCAGAACAGCAGGCGAGTATCTAGAGACAGTGATACAACAGCTTCCATCCTTCCAATACATGCACCTGAATCCAGCTCTGACGGTTTTGTGGATCAGTGAAGGTCCCTTTTGTTTTCATTCTTCTTGTAGAATTGCTGCTAACAAGCTATAATTGATTTGCTAACAAAAACACGTTTGGCTCGTATCTTTTGTGTGTGCGCTAATTTGTTCTGTTTGTCTCCCCTATATTTAATCCATCTACCTACTGATCAGCGTTATATTCGCTGAAATTAATCATAATAGTTTGGGTTTGTTGTAAATAGAATGTCATGTTGTATTCATAATTTGTAACTTTACCTTTCTTCTTCATCAGTGTTTATGGGTTGTGATTTTTTTTTAAAGTAAAACAAATGACCATTTATAACTGATAAAACACAGAAATAATGGCTATTTGTTATAAAAAACAGATATCACTAATTTATAAATATAATGGCAAGACAGAAAGAAATATTATCAATTTATACATATGATAGTAGGTCATAAATTTGCTTAGTAGGACATGTAAATTTTACTAGTATAGCAACTAAAAATTATGTAATGTAGGACTTGTGCTGGTGTTGCGGCTAGATGCTTGCCTGTTGGCCCTAGGTCTTAAGTTTAAATCTGCAGTCACCTTTTTTTTCCTTTAGCAATCAGCTGCCAGGTTAACCTAGCATAAAATAATACCTGTTTAAAACTGGGAAGGGGGGGTGGTTAAAGGTGGCCGCATCACCCACCGAGTGCTGATTGGTCTATAAAATAAGAGTCCAGCGTTATATGTGCCAGATGCGCCACTGGATAAGGATACCTTTACATTTTATTTTTATTTTTTTTAAAACTTTATGCCAGGACATAAATATTACTAGTGTATAGATGCAGTTGTTAACCCTGTCGCCTCAAGAAAAAGCAAAACCAACTCTTCCATTAGGGTTCTATTCCCTGAAACAGTCACTTTTCCGATTAAAGTGGCCTGTTCTAGTAGTGCAGATTTATGACAACATAATTCTCATTTTGTTCACTGTGTTAACCTGTGGCCGGGTCACAGAGTTAAAAAATGAGCGACTGTAAACATTTATTTTTAGACCCTCAGTGATGTGACCTAACTACTTTTTGTTTGCTGATGATGACTGCCCATATGATTTGAATTTAATATTTTTTGGTTGAGAAATTTTTTTTGTGCTCAGTGTAAAAAAAAAAAAAATTTTTTTTTTTAAGATTTCTTCCCTAGGACTTCCCTAATTAGCGGTCATTGACATTGGTGTTTTTATTTTTATTTTCTCATTAGGTTACCAGAATGATGGTTAAAGTGCAGAAATAGTAGATGAATATATATATAAATATATATATATATATATATATGTATGTTAAGGCAAAGACATATTACCATTTTATATATAAAGTGCGTACAAATTACTTTGGCAGTTCCTTTATAGAGCAGGGACACACAAGAGGCTCAGTTACAGCACGAGTTATAAAATTCTGACATCTTCCCCACCCCCCCCCCCCCCCCCCCCCCTTTTCCCGATTATGTTGCTGTTGTCCTCACTTTTTTGTTGTTGTGTTTATGTCTTTGTGACACCTGCATAAAATTGTCTGTTGTATTCTAGCTGCACGTGTCTAGATGTAGTTACCAGATATATGTATGGTCTTAGTGTAGGTTAGCACTGTTGTTGCTTTGGTGTTTTATTAGCATTTTGAAACTGGAGGTGTATGGTCATGAGCTCTTATTTGACTAGTGCTGATAAAGGTCTTCTTGTGGTCTTTCCCAGAATAGGGTCAGAGGCCACATAGAAGACCTGTCTGAGGCGGGAAAGATCTGAAGTGAATGGTCTTGGTGTGCCAGATATCAGTCTTCTTTTTTCTTCTCTTTCCTATATTTCTTCCTCCTTTTGTTTTCCATACTCTTTTTCTTCTTCATCTTCTTCTCCATTCTCCTCTTCTTCTTCCTCCTCCTCCTCCTACTCTTCTTCTTCTTCAGCTTAAAATTTGATGGTATGGTTTATAATCATTGATGCCACTGATGACAGGATTTGTTGTGACTGTCCTACATTGATTGGGTCAATCCCTTTCCGTCTTATCACTGACTGGCCAGTGGCATTAGTAGGGAATCTTGTAACATTGAAAACCTGCCCAGGTTACCAGGTTCTTGTATCATTGATGTCTTGATACTGTAATGTTTGGGGGTGGAGGCGTAAAGAATTATTTTATTTGAAGTTAAGTAAAAAAAAAAACCTTTTTTTTCCCACACCTTTGTCCTATTGGGAATATAGTGCTAGACCTATAATGGTTGAGACCAGTTGGGACTCGGAGGGGGATGTGTCCACGTCATGTTGATAGCCTTTATTTACTGAGATATTACCTGGTACCCATTTTTGGTCGTGTTGGCCTAGAAATCATGATTGAATTTGAAGGGGGGGGGGGGTGGAATCACTTAAGTGCAGATTTAAACCCTAGACCTTTTGATCGTCAGCATTTAGCTGCTTTACTTTCACAGCTCTATTTAAGTTTATTGTATTATATTTGAATTTTTATTATCCACTTGTTTACATTGATTGCTTTATGCCAGAGTTGTCCATTGGTTTAGTTTTTTTTAATTTCAGTAGTAAAGATTTTGGTTGAGATTCTTGATTTGTGACTTTTACAAAATACACCCAGTAGTCGGCATTACTTACATTAACATTGACTTAGTCTGTGATATTAAGGTGTGTAAAGAGCATATTGATTGTTGTAGTTGACATTTTGTGCTTCTGGACTTGCTTTGATAGAACACTGGACAGACCACCCGATCCATGTCATCTAGGAAGAGTGGACAGTCGGGGTCGGCATCTACTGCGACCACTCCCAAGAACAGCTCTATGAGCCACAGCCAGAGTGCAGGTATTCCTCGGCGGAGCACTTTCAGCCCAGGCGATGGTAAAACACCCACTGATAAGCCTCGGACCATCAATGGCCAAGAAACTAACAGGTTTGTATTTCTTCTTCTTCTGCCTTTTTATCCCCCAAATGGAGCATAGGCCCTTAACCAGCTCATGCCAAGTCGTTCTATCCTTTGCGATCGCTTGAAGCTCTCCCCGTTTTCTCCCCATCTTTTTAACTTCATTCTCTAGCTCCCTTCTCCGTGTGTTTTTTGGTCTTCCTTTATTCCTATGCCCCTGTGGATTCCAGAGCCAAGACATTCTAGTTATATTGTTCTCTGGTTTTCTCAATGTGTGTCCTATCCAACATTAGTGTCTTTCCTTCACCTCTTGGAACTTGCTTAGGTCTCTCCCAAAGCTCTACATTAGTGATTCTATCATACCATTTAATTAACAATTGCCTCAGTTGTTCTGCATATTTTCTCTCCATACAACAGTATTTATTTGACATTAGATTAAAAATTTTAAGCTTATTTTTTATTTTATTTTATTTTGACCTCCAACATATTCCCTAGTGCTATGAAAGCTCCTCTTGCCTTTTGTATTCGTATTTTAATAACTTTATCAGTTCCCCTATTTTTATCTACACTGCAGCCCAAATTTTGTACTGGCAGTCTTATATTTTTTGCCCCAAGAAGCTGTGAACCCAGCACATCTGTCTGCGATTAATCGCAATACATGTTGCTTAACTGGCATGTCTGTACTGACTTGTTCCTGAGAGGCCTAGTTCATAGCACTGGTTCTGTTTGGGCTTGCACAGATTTAGTTGGCTTCAGATGTGCATTATTTACACTCCTTTCCCACAAATAAAAACGAGCATGAGAGAGAAAGGGGGAAGGCGGGTAACTTGGGGGGAAAACCTGGTAACTTTGGTGGAAAGCCTGCTTCTGTAAGGCCATTATGGTGTCCTAATTTGCCCATATCATTATTGTTAGAATTCCTATGAGGTCATGTGCTCAGGTATGAGTCACCTAATATAGTTGTAGCCCCAAATCTATTTATTTCTCCACTCTGTGTGTATTTATTGATTGCCCCTGTTGATTCTTTTTTTTTTTTATTGTTAAAATGTAAATCGATGCATTTATTAAAAAAAAAATTTAGTAACCCATGTAAATAAAATTGCACGCACACATATTGCTTCATAGCTTGCAGCAAGGCTGATGTATCTACACATTTTGGCCAAATATATCCAATTTAAGCCAACTTTAATTAGTCACTTTTTATAACTTGTAAGTTGGGGGTGCTTGCCCCCCCACCCCGATAGTTGTCTTTTATACTGACAGTTCAGGTAGTAAACTTTTATATCAATTGTTCAGATAGTCAACTTTTTTACAAACTGTTCCAATAGTTGAATTTTGTACTTGACTGTACAGATAGTTGACTTTTTTTCTTTTTAACTGACTGTTTAGATAGTTGACTTTAATTTTTTTAACTGACTGCTCAGATAGTTGACTTTTTAACCGACTGTTCACATAGAGACTTGTATGTACCTTTAGATCAGATGTGATCCATCTGAGTAATGTATTTATGAAACGATAATATATTTATGAAACTGTTCTCAGTGCCACCCCGACGGAAGTCTCCACTGGGGGAAACACAACACCTACTTCAGCATCTACGGCATCTACGCGACTGAAAGGTCATTCAAAGTCTGCCAGCGTGACATCTCGAGATAGTGATGTGCCGCCAGCAAACTCTGAAGCTGACCCCAGGCCAATGTGAGTGACTCTGTCATGTGTGCATTTATATGTGAGAGAGAGACTGACATGACTGTCCATTCCTTGTTTGCATTGTTATTGTGTCCTTCCTGGTTGTTTCCTTGTCAGGCTAAGTTTATTGTTTTTTTTCCTCAGCCTTCTCTTTTTCTTTTTCCTCCCTCCTTTTTCTCCTACTTCTGTTACTCCTCCATAATACTACTTTTTTTTTCTCATCTTTCCCTCCTTCTTTTTCTTCTTCCTCCTCCCCCTTCTCCACCCAATTCTTTACCTTCTTTTTTTTTCTTCCTCTCCACCTCCGGCTCCTTCACCTTTTTATTTTTTTTTTTTTTTCATTCTTTACATTTTTTCTCCATATCCGCCTTCATCTTCGCCTTTGTCTCATTTTCATTCTTCTTCCTTTACATCTATTTTTCAGCATGCCAAACTCCTTCCAAGCCTTATAAGACTTGAATTGGAGAAATTAGAGTTTGTAGCATTGTCTGTGGGGTGAGGGAGTCAGTCTCTCTCCAGCCCTGCCACCTTAATCACCTCTTACACCATATGCCTGATGTGCAAGTGGTGTGAATGAGAAAGGATCCTTTACTTATTTCTGGGCCTCAATTTTATGCGGCTGAGTGGAAGCCAGAAGGAAATCATGCTGCCAGTACTGGGGATTGAATCCCTACCACTCACTGTCTTGGCAAGCCAGCTAACTACTATAGCACCTCAGCTCAGTTATAGAGTGCAGCACTCATCTTAAAAATGTCCTTAACTATTTTTTCGTTTCTGTTCCCAAAGAACTGCGCCAGGGAAATCTCTTAACCCGGCCATCTCTCCTGGTGCCCGGCCAAACTTATCTCGAGGTACACAAGCTAGGAATACATTCCACGGCCGGGATGCACGGAAGCAGCTGACCCAACCTTACAATGGACCTGCCGGGATGCCCGAGAATCCTGGAGACCCAAATATACCTGGCCAGCGACCGTCATTCTTCAACCGAATTACCTCAAAATTCAGTCGCAGGTAAGTCTGTATAAAATAACACATGGTCAGAATTGCTTCCATTTTTTTGGTTCTTGATTAAAGTCGTGTGTTGATCTTTTTATAGTAAATCTCATTTTGCATCCATATTATTTCAGTTGTCAAATAGTTGTCTTTTACCTCGTACGTGTGTCCCATAGTTAGGTCCCAGGAGAAGAATTGGCTTTCTTATGTGATCACATTTTGGAAAAAATGGTGCTGGGTATGTGTCTTCTTGGACACTGGACTACAGGTTGTGTGGTGCCCCACTATAACTGTGCTATGTGGCTCTACAGTTGAATAGGCAATAGGGATACTGAGAGTTGTACCTGTTTGATTTTCTTCCTTGAGATGTCATTCCTGCATGCTGCAGTCCCGGACAGACACATATATACACCAGAGTTATTTTTCCTGGCTTCGCCCGGGATAGTGAAAATGTCTTATTCTCCTGTCGTCTACCACATTTCGGTCTCCACCGCTGCCCTATATGTAGGCTTAGTCAAAATAGGGGCCTAACTAAAACCCTATATTTAATATCCTGTCTTCTACTATATCTTTATATCCACCGCTGCCGTGTCTTTAGTCATTGGCCTCGAGTGCACCCAAGGCATCCCCTGTAATACTAACTCCAATATTTAATAGTTTCGGAGACAGACATAAGTATTGTCTCAGACACATTCAGATATGTAGTTTCAAGATAGATAACAACAAAATATATTTTTAAATTACCCTTTCATGGAAAGTAAAAGGGAAAAAATATTCAACGGGATATAACTAAAGCACAAGTTTTTTTTTTAAATTAAAAAAAAACACTGATTGTTGCAATAAACAAAGAAATGCGCAATAGCCCGGGCTGTCAATATGGCTCTTAAGTTAGACATTGTATTCATATTGGCAAATGGAAATCAAACTGTCAATGTTTGGGAGGAATTAGCACTTCATTTATAATAAACACACCAAGTGCAGAAAGAGTTCGTGATTTACACACCCGCACGCACGCAAAAAATATCAAAAAGTAGTGCCTCGTAATTTTTTATTTTACAGATAAAATTCACATTGAAATAGGGACCTCAAGTCTAAACGTCAAAAATACATTTCTCAATTTAGTCTGCCTTATTTGTTACAGTTTTATCCATCTTTTTTACAAGGGCATTTGTTACAGTTTTGTCCATCTTTTTTACAAGGTCATTTGTTACAGTTTTATCCATCTTTTTTACAAGGGAATTTGTTACAGTTTTATCCATCTTTTTTACAAGGGCATTTATTACAGTTTTATCCATCTTTTTTACAAGGGCATTTGTTACAGTTTTATCCATCTTTTTTACAAGGGCATTTGTTACAGTTTTATCCATCTTTTTTACAAGGGCATTTCTCTTCGCTAGTAAAAATGTGTGTCACTGAAACTGGTTGGTAATGCTGAATAGTGTTTGAGGATTCCTGCTAAATATACAAATTTCACACCGACACAGTATTTATGTAGATAAAAAATAGGAGGCATTATTTTTTGGCCCTCCCTGTAAATATAGGGGTCTCTGTGGGACAGTGGTTTATTTTGAGACTTCTTCGTTAGTTTGTTGAGTGCAGTTGTTTGCTTGTGGAGATCCCTTGTAGCCAGCTTGGTTGTGTAGATCTAGTAGTTACAGTGAGTCACTGGGAAACGTTTTGTTGTGGTTTACATCTAGGCTGCATCTTCTTGGTTGCATGGTGTCTGTATGCTCAATTGCCGGCCTGAAAGTTTAGAGCTAGCTTTTGCGGTGAGCCTATTTTAAGGAACAGAATTAGCTTCCTGGTCTAAAATGAGGGTCAGGAAATGCCTTGCGAAGTAAAGGTGGCCAGCATGATGTTAGGGACTCCCATTTAGTGCTAGTTAGTGTCTAAAAGAATGTTTGCCATGTGCTCCGAGGATCATGCGTTAATTTGACAGACGTGCTGTTCAAGTTCAGGGTACAGCTATTGTGGCGATCATTGGGGATTGTTGCTGGAACTACATAGTTCATTCACGCTGAATGTGATGCTCTCTGCACATGGCTAGCTGCTCTGTGGAGAGAGACTGAGCCATATGGGATAAAACCCAGTGCAGTAAAGTTGATCCCCTCGACTTAAACTCTCATCATCATCATCATCATGTAGCAGGTCCTTTGCAGAACGTTGCTCTTATCCCGGTCTGCCTGAAAGAAACTCGGTCTACCGCCAGTTTTCCCGCCTCATGTACTTTCATACTCAAGGAGTCACTTTTATCCTGTGCCCATCTTCGCGTTGGTCGGCCCCTGCCCCTCTTTCCTGGTACCATGCCTTCTGCTATTATTTTTTCCTATCCGCTGGGGCGCTTAATATGACCAAATATTTTATCTTCCGAGACAGGATGCTGTTTATTAGACAATCTTCCTTGATGTTCAGATCTTTCAAGATGACAGTATTTCTACTCTTCTTTGTCTAAGATATTTTGAGAATCTTTCTATAGCATTTCAGCCCAAAAGCTCCTAGTCTCTTTCTTAAGGACTGAGAGATAGACCAAGACTCACATCCGTATGTTGCTACATGGAAGATACATGCTCTCAAAATTCTCATTTTGATCTCCTTGCTGGTGCTTAACCATAGACTTTTAATGCTGTTTAATCTTTGCGTTGCTATGGCCATCCTCCTTTTAATTTCTGTCAAACAGTCTCCATTGCTATTTATTTTAGAGCCTAGATATTCAAATTTATGACATTTTCAATTTCTTCATCATTTGTTATTTTTGGGTGACTGCAAAAAGAGTCAGAATCTGGTGTTTTCTTTGTCAGTAAAATGGAGTCAGCCATCTCCCATTTAAACTGTTAATTTTTTTTTTTAAACAGAAGATGACACTTGATGCTATAAACAGAACACATACACACACCAGACATCGTACACATACACACGAGACATACATCATATTTACAATCACCCACACATTTATATCACATATACACCTCTTGTGTAATGAATTGAATCTAGGATAAGTAAGCGAAACATAATCAGGTCTGTGTAAACATTGTATGTGTGGTTGGATCTGTGTAAACATTGTATGTGTGGTTGGATCTGTGTAAACATTGTATGTGTGGTTGGATCTGTGTAAACATTGTATGTGTGGTTGGATCTGTGTAAACATTGTATGTGTGGTTGGATCTGTGTAAACATTGTATGTGTGGTTGGATCTGTGTAAACATTGTATGTGTGGTTGGATCTGTGTAAACATTGTGTGTCTGGTTGGATCTGTGTAAATATTGTGTGTCTGGTTGGATCTGTGTAAACATTGTATGTGTGGTTGGATCTGTGTAAACATTGTATGTGTGGTTGGATCTGTGTAAACATTGTATGTGTGGTTGGATCTGTGTAAACATTGTATGTGTGGTTGGGAATCTGAATTTGTAGTTCTTTTCTTCCTAACATTCACCATCAGTGGAAAGTTGAGTTTGTTCATCCACTTCTGAACTTTGGTCTTGCTCCAGAAATTGAGTTTTGTTTACAGTCATTTTACTGATTTGGCTTCTTTGTATAGACTAGATTCCTGGCCTCTCAGAAACACCCCTAATTAGCCACATTTGACATGCTTTTTTTTAAAAATATATATTAAGGTGTGCTATAAGAACTTGATAATGATAACGTTAGGGTGTGCTAAGAATATGGCATTAATGTCTTTCAGATTTTTCAAGTGTGATATTAATTAATGACTGTGTGCTAAGAATGTGATATTTTGACTTTAAAGTGTACTATGCATGTGATAGTATTGACATTAAGGTGTGCTAAGAATGTGACATTAATGACTTTAAGGTGTTCTAGCAGTTCACAATTAATGACATTAAGGTGTGCTAAGAATGTGACATTAATGACTTTAAGGTGTTCTAGCAGTTCACAATTAATGACATTAAGGTGTGCTAAGAATTAAGTATATAACAAATACTCACACTGGCATTTTCATTAAGTAAAATAAACGTTTTCTCATTTCTTCCCTGAACGCCGTGTTCAGTCCTGGAATGAGGTATTTATATTTTTTTTTAAATCATTTTTCGACTTTGGTTTCACTCTTGCTTGCTGTGTCTCCCCTTCCTCCCCACCGATTCCATGTTTTGGCATTTTTGTTGTTCTGTTGTTTCTATATTGTGTGTTTTCAATTTGACTTTAATCCTTCCATACTTTTTTCTTAAATGATAGAAATATAATTGAATAATTTTCACAAATTATTCGCCTTTATCTTTTAGTGTGGTAACAAGTATGACTCGATTCTCTAAAGAAAGCATACTTTTGGCTCGGCAGTAAACTTTTAACATGATTTTTAAAACAAAATTGTATAAAAATCTGAAATTTTAACTTCAGAGTTTCAAGAAACTTCTTCTAACTTCCGTAAGTGTAGTTGAAATTCTAACTGAAGCATTTAAAGAATTCCATAAATATATGGAAGAAAAATAACTTGAAAGTTTATGAAAGCCTTGTTCTGAGTACTGAAAGTATCGTAGAAATTTAACTTCATGTTCAGAAGAGCAGTTTTGTTTTACCATATATGTGGTAAATATATGTGTGGATAAAAAATATAGTATCATAAAAGGTCCTTTGTCTAGAAGCCTTGTAGCAGCGGAAATGGTGGAAGACATACAAATCACGTGCCGTTAGAGACTTCATTTGGTGGGGGGGGGGGGAGGGTTAAAGTCGGGAGAAAAATAGTGCCTCGTAGATATTTTGTTTATTGTGAAAGACATCACACTTTGTATAAACTTTACAAACACGGATAGATGTAAGGCATTTCTTAGTTTAAAAAAAACCTTTTTTTGTGTGTTTTGTTTCAAGAAACACAATCACCAGTGATTATTCTGTATGTGTATTTTTGTTTCTTGCGTTAAAGAAGAAAAGCAGCATGTCATTTTTGTGTACATTGGTGGCCAAAAGTTTAAGGCCACACAGCAGAACATTGATATTGCCACACTGTTGTAGAGTATTGCATCAACTGCTATTTTAGGGCAGAATGAAGACTGCAGATATTCCTTTAA